AAGATTGAAATTTGACCAATCAGGACAAAAGGGACTAAAATTTCTTTGTCCTGATTGGTCAAATTTCAATCTTCGATCTTCAATCTCAATCTTCAATGCGTAGTCTGATACGGGCTTTATAGGGTCTCTAAAGCCTGTATCAGGGTGCGAACCCATGGCAGCGGAAAAGCTTAACGCGAACAAGAGTGGACCAATCGTGAGCGTAGCGAAAACTGCAGAACGCTCGCGATTGGTCATGCTGTCGTTCCGCGTTACGCTATTCCGCTGCATGGGTTTGCACCATAGACATAGGCCGGTATTCATAGTTTTTGTGTACACACACATGGCCGTGCATGCGCACTTTTGAGCAGAGTTACTCACAAGAGAGAGGCAACTACGATTTCTTTCTCACTTCCTTCCGACACTTTTCAGCCTGCTATTCCCCTTCCATTTATATATGTTCTAAGGTTTGCACCCTCAGACTACGTAATGAAGATTGAAATTTGACCAATCGGGATAAAAGGAACTAAAATTTCCTTGTCCTGATTGGTCAAATTTCAATCTCAATGCATAGTCTGATACCGGCTTAACTGTGCTTTAATATTGACGACACTGGTGAATGACTTTTCACCGACTTCACGCGCTTCAATCGCAGAAATATATATATATATATAAATATGGCAAAATTATTAGGATTAGATAAAGTTGCCACGTTATTTCGTATTATACGCGGAAATGGTGGAATTTTCGGTTCCGTAAAAACACTATTCAGGTTATTATTACGTTATATTATTTTGACAATACAATAGACATTTTACAATATTGTGTGTTGACTACTTTGAATTACATATAAGTATTGTGTAATCTACTCTACATTTGACTCTGATTATAACTTTAAGATGTATCATAATTTTCATTTGTAGAAAACAAAAATTATTTTTTATTATATAAAGAAATGAATATGTTAATTTAATATTCTTAGTGATTAAGTACAATTATTTCAAAGTGATTTGCGTGATTAGGACGGATGATCTGAAAACTGGTATTTTAATTGGAGAAGATAAATATGGAAATCGATATTATGAGAATAATATGTATTTTGTAGGTGAGTTTGTTGTAGATACATGCTGGTTTATCATAGTGCTACAATGAAACTTCATTTATATAGAATAATGTATGATACTATATCATTTTATGAGAATTTTCATATATATATATATATATATATAAAGATGATATATTTCAATTTTGCATATTATATTATATATATATATATATATATATATATATATATATATATATATATATATATATATATATATATATATATATATATATATATATATATATATATATATATATATATATATATATATATATATATATATATATATATATATATATATATATATATATATATATATATATATGAGAATTTTCATATATATATATATATATATATATATATATATATATAAAGATGATATATTTCAATTTTGCATATTATATTTATTCAATATTCTCTATAGGTCGTAATAGATGGGTGATATATGCCGATAAAGTTGGATTCAATTATGACGGCTCGCAAGTCCCAGCAGAATGGTTTGGTTGGCTACATTACAAAACAGATTTACCACCAAATAAAGATCCATCTCGACCAAAATATAAATGGATGTTAGATCATCAACCAAATATGAGTGGTACCAATAAAGCTTATATGCCCTACAGTACCACAAGACCAAAGATTGAACCTTGGCAGCCACCACAATGATAAATTTTATGAACACAAAAATGAACAGTAAAAAGGTAGTTTATTTGTAATAATAATTGAAATAAAATATTATTTAATGTGTAAATAAAGCACGACTAGCAACATGAAGAGAAAATATTAGATATTTGAAAGATATTTACAAGATGTATTTTCGATTTTGAATGTATCAATGCAATATTGATATTTAAGATAAAACATAATACAACAACAATGGACAATGGCATTTAATATCAATTTCCAATTTCAGAAAATACGAAATGATGAAAGTGATAATATGTACATTTTTTATATTTATTTAGATTTTATTAGACTAGGACCAATACTGCACTATATAGATTTCATTTCCTGTACACTATCCATACATTGCTTCAAGTAATTGACCCGTTTGTCGATTTTGTCCTGTATACTAAAATTTTCATAAGAAATTGTTATAAGGTTGTATCCTCTGGCTTTTAATAATTTAGTATATAAATATGTCGATCCTATGAGATCATTCTGTCCTCGGCAATAATCATGATAATCATGCACCATTATTGCTATCCTAAAATGGTTACATTCATCATTAGTGAATGATAGAATTCATGATTGTGTTAATATCTCATAATTGAAATTATTAACAAATTATTTCTATACTTTTTGAAAAAAATTATACTTTAAAGCTATTAATATAATTTTCAATTATTAATATGTATATTTGAAAATGAAATTAATAATTTTTTTTTTATTTGCAATATATGTGACATACCTTCTTACATTCTTAGATTGTTCATTCCAATCTTCAACTTTTATAAGTTTATGCTGATCATTTATACAATACTCTGCATCTACAAATAATAAAAAACATAATTTTTTTAGTTATTCCAGTTGACAAGATTAACAAGATAATGCATTGATTCATTATGAATTCTTATTATTATGTTAAAATATTTACCTAGTAAAAAACCCATATTCGTATTAAGATTTGTTTTGAAATAAGACGAGGATGGTAATAGTTTTGTTAGTGTCTCCGATAATGCATCTATATACATTTGCTTTTCTTTTGATCTAACTAAAGGTATATTATTAAAAACTTCTGAATCTTTATTCAATAGGGGTCCTGTAATTTAGAATGATAATAGAATAACATATAGAATTGTTAAAGGCATATTAGTACATATGAATTAATACATATAATGTTTACCTTTATAATCTTTCAGCACAAACTGTGCAACAGCATTGATATTTAATAATTTTAGTTTCTTTGAAATATTTAATTTAGAAGAGCCTATACAAAAGCCATAGTAACAAATATTATTAATATATTTAAATGGTAATAAATCAATTATATGATTCAATAATAGATACAAACCGATTAATCTTTCCATAAATGTAGGGTCCAGTACAAATTCCACATGTCGCGGCCGTACATCATCTAAAACCGCTAAGGACCAAACAATATCCAACCATTCGGCCGAAGACATATGAAATGGATCAGATTGTTCCGCGAAATTCTAGTCATAAAAATAATATACTTTTCTTACAGCTAAAGAGAATATATAAAAATGGAAACAACATGAAATTCTCATGTACCTTGATAAACGAGCTTGCACTTTCTGATTTAAACTGCAAAGCTGCAAATGTTTGTAGTATCGACGAATAATCCTGAAATTTATAATTGATTGATTTCTTGAACAATGTGTTACAGAACGCATTGAGTACATCCTCATTTTTATAACGCAGAAATCCAAGCGATGTTATTATGGATGTATTTGTAACAGCATTGGTACTTTTTGGTATACATTCCAATAAGTCAGATGCAATTTTCTCCAACAGGATCTATTATACCATTCATCATAAAAAATTAATATATATTTTTTTCAATACATTGATATAATAGATAGATATATGTATACCTTATCTGGAAAATTTAATACAGCCATGCTATATAACAGATTTGCACTTTGCTTCATAGTTAATGTTATGTTGTATTTAACGATATTATATGACAGCATCCTTAATAGCGGTGTATGTCTCTTTCCTTTTTCTCTCAATGACTCTATCACCTTTATAAAAAGAATATATCAATGCATATATATTTAGCAATAATATAAATATTGTATTTACCTTAATCATTGCAGGTGTAGATAACTGAGAGTATTGTGAGAGATCATCATTTGATGTTTTTATCTTGTTACCGAACTTAACTATCTTTCTGAGATGAATAAATCTTTCATCAGCTTCAATATCAACTATCTGCGATTTCCCACTATTTATCTGATTAGTTATGCTTGATATAAGTTTCAATGCATTAGTCATGGACAAATTTGACAACATTGCCAGATCTAGCAAGTCGTTTATAGACTTAGCAGCTTGAAATTGTTTGGAAAATATTGTGTCATTTTCACTAAACCATCTTTTTCCCGGCAGATAATACTTCATCTGGATTCCCGTGTTTTCGGACTTTTGCTTCTCTTCTTTATGTGGGATATTATTTTGTATATCTGAGAATTTAGTAGCATCGTCTTCCTAAACATAAACCATTGATAATCTTTTCTGCCAAAAAATTGAATCAAATGTTAAAGTATATGCAAACAGTTATAAGAGATTGAATGCCATGAAAGAAGATTGAATCGTCATGAATTGTGTCTTTACCTTCGCAGAGGCAGCAGAATGCTCGCTAGTTACTGCTGTGCTGGAGTTACTGGCTATGAGTGCAGTGAAACGCCAGGACGAACGAGACGTTAGTCTGGCAGTTGCGGTATAGAACGTCGCACTAAACTGCAGCATTGTCATTATTCTGTAAAATGATTATTTATATAATTGTCAATTAGAGAATCTTAGAATAGAATTTTCAATAATGTCAGTTTTTCTCGTTAATTCGCGTGCGAAACGATTTTAGCTCACGTTACATGCACATTTTGACGAAGTTTTATTCGCTGGGAAAGAGATGGTTCAATGAAAATTATATTAATATTCTGCATAAACAAGAAAAAATAACATTACCGCTAAAGTAAAAGATGTTATTGTTAACTATATCCGGTGCATCAGGTATGGCATATTTAGGTTAGATGATCACCATGTATCCCGACCATAGACATGAAAAAAGATTAAGAGTCGATTGTCGAGGTCGACGGAATGTTGATGCAAGGTAAAAATTGTACATACCTGCATCGCCAATTTTATTCAAATATTTCAGTTTATTTAGAAAATATGTAATGGAACGAATTTTTATATATACTTGGCGTCGCGTCGCTTGATACAATTTAATCGATTTAATGTGCAGCGAATTATAATGATAAAATACTGTAAAATATATACATACAAAATGAGTTAAATATGGCCTAAATTAATCTAATAATCTCAAATAAAAAAAATTAGAGAAATATAATATATATTTAAAAAAATCGTCACATTAAAAAAATATGAACATTCTAAGCCAGAAAAATTTGTTATATTATCTATATAACTTATTAATAAGATTTGTATGAAATTTCCTCGTAAAACAAAACGAATATAAGCTTTTGCTTTTTCAATTAAGAAAGAGAAGTGAAAGAAGATATAAAAAATATATAAAAAAGATCAAAAATTATTTCATAGAACTTAGGGTACGCTATCAACAGATTACTATACTGATAACAGTGAATTATGTAAGTCGATTAGGAACTTAGATAATCGACAAGTGTGTCAAAGGTGTTGGAGAAGTACAATATATCAGATGATCAAAACCATGTGTTCCGAGAAAACACCACGGATTCTTTCGATCCAGAGTCATGTAGTGTCAGGATACGTTGGCAACAAAAGCGCTACTTTCCCGTTGCAGGTGAATACTGTAGAAAAATTAGAAAGTTGCGGTTCTATTTGTTCTTTGATTAACACTTTGAATCCTTTTTACGCAACAAGAACCGATCTTAATTTTTCACATTTTGATGAAATATAAATAAATTGAGAAATTAATTTTTCATTAGCTATTAGGCTTTGAAGTTGATGCAATTAACTCTGTACAATTATCCAATCATACTGGCTATAAAGCATTTAAAGGACAGATACTCAATGATAAAGATCTAGGTAAGATCAAAGAGAGAAATATATAATAATGATCACTAAGAAAAGGACGATTAACTATTTCTCAAGAATAATTATTTTAGACAATCTTGTTGATGGCTTAGCTCAAAATAACTTGGATAATTATACGCATTTACTGACCGGATACATTGGTTCAGCTTCTTTTTTAAAAAGGGTAGCATTGTTGGTCACAACATTGAAATGTAAAAATCCAAATCTTATTTATGTTTGTGATCCTGTTATGGGTGATAATGGAAAGATGTATGTCCCAGAGGCACTGAAGGAAATTTACAAAAAGGAGATACTTCCATTAGCGGATGTGCTTACTCCAAATCAGTTTGAATTAGAGTACATATGATATTAATACAATATGTGGCTATCTCGTTAATTCCTATCACAATATGATATATCATTAAAATTTCTTAGAAATTAATATATCTTCTTTACAATTGTATCTTTGTTTTCTCAGATTACTGACAGATGAAAAAATTACTAGTATGACTGAATTGCAAAATGCAATTAAAAAATTGCATCAAATTGGACCAAAAACTGTAGCTCTGTCATCATCTGAGCTTAACAATAAGTTGACGGCAGTAGTCAGCACTGAAAAAGGTATTGCGTTACAAGATAATGGTTAACTTCTCAGATGATTATAACAAACATTAATTTCTATGATTTTTTTCGTAGATAATGTATTATTGAAAGTAGACATTCCTAAAATACCAGCAACCTTTACGGGTTCTGGAGATCTTTTTGCTGCATTATTCCTTGCTCACTTGTATTTGCAAAGTGACATGAAAACCACGATGGAGAAAACTATAAATTCTCTATACAGCGTGTTACTTAATACTTATGAATATTCTAAAGGTAAATGATATTTTTACAATAAGACATATCTCAATATTGTTATTATACAAACCATTATTTACAGTATATGCAGACACTCAAGCGCAACATGCTAGAAAAATCGAATTACAACTTATACAAAGTAAAAATAATATTGAAAATCCAGAAATTCGTCTATTTGCGGAATTATTATAACAAAAATAATAGAAAACGCTTAAATGTATTTCAATTACCAGAAAAAAAAAAATATGATCAAATCATTGTACATACATATTATTTACACAATGTAAAATTTCTTTACTATTTAAATAATTGAACACTTGTTAAATCTACTTACAATACTACCGCGAGAAAGATGTTGCATTTATAATAATATAAAGATTTTTATTTTAATGAAACTCCAAAGACCAATATATATGTCTTCCAAAGAAAGCATGTAATTTATTCAAGTGTTATATATGATAATTATGTAACAAATAAGTTTCTATATGTTAAATAAATTTTAAATTTTGGAAACTCATTATCTGCGCATTAACACAAATTGTTTTGAAGTTATTGATATATACTCTGAGAGCAAACAATCAGTCGCAATAATCCTTCAATGTTAAACGAGGTAATATGTTCATACATTGTAATTCTTGGAATAGTAATTTACAAGCGTAAGGCATCGTGATCGTAGAAATGGAGGAACTGGAACTGCATCTTTGGCACCAACCGTTATATCCCATCAAACCACACTTGTTACAAATATCGACTTGAAATGCGTCGCTCGATAACATGAGCCTCTCTACCAACAACATGCTGGCCCCATAACCGATCAAGCAATCGCGTTCCATTTCACCCAGACGTAGACCACCGTCTTTGGAACGTCCTTCTGTCGGCTGGCGAGTTAGAATGACCTTCGGCCCCCTGGCACGAGCATGTATCTTGTCTTGCACCATATGTTTCAATTTCTGATAATAAACCTACACATTACAATTGAAATAGTATTTTAGAAAAGATATTAAACAAAAATTCTTATTTCTAATTAATTAATTGGAATTAATTATTGAAGGTAATCTAATCAGATATTCTGATTGGAAAATGAAAAACAATTTGGAAACTTTAATACAATTATACAAAGGCATTACCATTTTAATTAAAGTCGTAAAGAATAGAGAATTGTCAACTAAACTACAGTGATTACTTTATTCTAGAAAGAAAAACTTACTATTCCAGAAAAAATGTATCCCGTTATCGGCTGTCCAGTCGTGCCGCTATAAAATAAATCTTTACCTAGGTAATTATAATTATTTTTTGCTAATTCTTCACAAAGATCCTCTATTTTAGCGCCCTCGAATGCTGCAAATAAAAATTAACAAGATTAAACATTATATATCATACATAGTTCAATCATTATCTTTTTACAAAATGTACCTGTTGCATCTTGGAATGTCCCATTCACAACGCCCGTTTTGCCAGCTAATACCTCTATCAATTTCCCAACTGTCATTCTAGATGGGAAACCATGTGGATTCATAATCACATCAGGACATATACCATAATCGTTAAATGGCAGATCTTCTTGATCCACAATTAAACCTGAATAAATATTATTATCAGAAATTATAATATTTCATAGAATGTATGATAAATTCAACACGAAAATATATGTAACAAAATAATCTTACCTACGACACCTTTCTGTCCATGGCGACTACTAAATTTATCGCCAATCTCAGGTCTCCGAGTTTGTCTCAATAACAATTTTATTAAGAAGGCATTTTCGGCATTACTAGATACCATAACTTTCTCTATATATGCCGGGACCGAACCTTTGTACGAAATTTCCGCATTGCGATATTCCGGTTGCGTTTGAAAATTGTCAGACCTCGATGGACCGATATTCCCAGTGCGCGTCGACACCGCTTTATTTACCATCACCTGTAACAATATAATATCAATCGTAGTAGAGAACAAAAAATTACTTACAATGTCATTCAAATACAAGAGATATACACTTTTTTATTTTCCACCATTTCACCAGTTGCTGCAATTCCATCGTTCTCAAGAATATCATGTTTCCATATAGGTTTTTTAGTAGTGGCGTCTATCGATTGTCCTAAAATTATATCGCTCGCTTGATTGGGATGGTTTTTTATTATACATTTCGAGTTTCGGTATACCAGACACCTTCCGTATCCTCTATCGACAGAGGCTTTGTTTAAAATAAGTGCATCTTCGATATCATATCCGCTAAACGACATCACAGCCACGATAGCATTTTCACCAGCAGGTAATTTATCGAAATTGATTAACTCTATTTGTCGCGTTTTCACTATAGGTCTTTGCGGATTTACCAGATTATACATCAATGTGTCGATGCGATTGCGTTGATTGTATCCTATGGCTCCTATAGCCTGTTTACCCATAGCGCATTGATAAGTGTTTCTTGGACTTTGATTATGATTCGGATATGGTACTAAGCCGGCGCACACTCCCAAAATTGTAAATTCTGCGATTTCTAAATGCGTTGTTTGAGGAATAATCTCGGATTCCTTACACGCAATCAAACTGTCATTTTCTTCGTTTACGTCTAGGTACTCAATCAATCCTAAACACAATAAACATAATAATACAATATATAAGATAAAATAAAAATAAAGTATATATTGTATTTATTTTTAATTGTTTATACCAGCATGAACAAAGTCATTGAAGGTCCAAAGATTTATCTCGAGATACTTCATGTGTTTCTGTCCAATAAGCGGTTTGCCGTCTTTGACGATGATGAGTGGTCTGCACAATCGACCGCCGTCGCAACTGACTTGAACACACTTATGTCGATTTTGCACAGATATTGACACAAAACAATCTATGAATCTCATCCTGCGTAACAACCTGAACTGGTGCGTCAGTCTCGATACTTGGGACTCTTTCACGATGCCTGCCATATTACCATTCACAAAAACTACATATATGCCTTTTTTTATTAGCTCTCCTCCGACACAAGTATAAATATTTTGCACGCCGAGATTATGCATCAATCTCACAAACGGTTCTTCTGGCATCTCTGTGGTAATATGAGCCATCAATGCTAAATTCTTCACCAAGCCGCACGCTTCACCTTCAGGCGTGTCGTTTGGACATAACATTCCCCATTGTGAACCATGCAACGATCGCGGACCGGAGATTTTCCTAGTCTTTTCAAACTGAGATTGCACTCTCGTCATCATGCCAAGCGCTGAAATGTACGACAATCGCGACAACACTTGTGTAACACCATGTCTTTCCATCCTAAATCTCTTGATTGTCCAATTTCCTGATGATATGGCAAAAGCCAGTCCATTGGTAATCATATCTTTTCTTATATATTTTGTTATATCGAATGGTGCTGCTTTGATCTTGGGAATATTCTTATCGGCAATCATCTTGAGCTCCCAATTAAATCTTTTGAATAAATCCTCAAACATTAGAGCGAGAAGAGAACCAGCTAGTTCCAGGCGTTTATTACCATAATAATCCTTGTTGTCAATTAGTTTGTTATCAAACTGTGCATCTATAACTCTTCTAATCATCAAGGCAAGATGCAGTGCTTTTGTTCTGAAGTTGAAATCTATGACAGGTACATGAGACAACACATTTGTTGCTAACGAATCTTTCATTTCATCAGTAACATTAGACTTTGCAACATGAAATCTCGTCTGTTTGCGTTTATTATTGAGATATTTTAATGCTTGTTTTTCTGAAAAGATACCTAAGTCTTGGCAATTCTCTATACTGGCTATAAACTTGTCCAAATATTTTTCTTTTTCTCCAACCATCTGTATGATATCTGTATCACTTACTATTCCCATAGCTTTGAAAATAACAGTAATCAGTATATCATCTTGGAACATATTGTTTCTTATATAATATTTGCCACCTTTACCCACAACACTTGTCTTAGTCTTTTTTTCATGTGTAAAACTGTTGCATGATGCAATAACTTCTTTGCCATCTTCTTCCACAATAATTCTATTTCTAACCATTTGTTCTTGTATTAATATAACTTTTTCTTGACCATTTATAATAAAATAACCACCAGGATCATGTGGACATTCATTTAGTTTTGCCAATTCGTAATGAGATTTATTAGTTAATACACAATTTGAACTGCGCAACATTATTGGCATTCTGCAAAGAAAATTTATGATCATATTACGTTTCTTTACATCAAGTGTTCTCTGTGTCTTTTATTTTCTATTCATTGCTCTTACCTTCCAATTACCATGTTTGTGTTTCTTATCCGCTGATTATTTCTTATATGTTCAATATCTACTAAGATTGGCGCGGAATAATTTAGATCTCTTAAACGGCATTCGTGTGGTGTAGTTGGTCGCATTACATTTGAACCATCATCAATATCAGGTGAACCAACTTTTATACTTAAATATCTGAAGTGAAAACAAAAATATTGTTAAACCAATAATTGTACAATTGCATTTTTTATAAAAATATATATGACAATTTCTTACTTTACGTAAAAATGTGGATCTTCATCGGATAAAACTTTTTCATTTGCTTTGACAATATTTTTTATTTCTTGATTAATGAAATAATTATAAGAATCTATATGCTGTTTCACCAAACCTTTGCCTTTCAGAAAAGCTTCCACTAACTTCCCTTTGTTCTGTAATATAAAATAAATATATAATTCACTAGATAAAATTTATCTATAATTTGACAGCATGTGTGTGTGTGTGTAAAAAAAATAAAAAATAGTTATTTCAAGTAAATATATAATACGATTTATGCTATCTTAGTAAATTCACATATATATTTTGTCTTCCATAAAATAATCGTATATTAAAAAAAAGAAAAAAATACGGGATAAAAAACAAAATTTCTTTTAAATAAATTCAACTTTTTACTAAGCATGCAACTTTCAAAAGAATGTATTAAGCATACAAGTTTCAAAAAGAATTGCCGACGAAAAATACCATATTCTGTACTTACTTTTATTTCATTTGTTTGTTCCATTTTTATCAGTTATAAAAGTCTTGTAATGTTAAAAATCAATACTTTTCGATAGGAGAGTTCACTTTCTTTTTCAATCCAATATATCACAATGTGTCGTGCACGTGGTCACACATGACTGTTTTTTCTTCTCTGGAGATGTTACTAACATCAATTTCATTGAGCTCTGTTACACGCTTAGAACATATATAAATGGAAGGGGAATAGCAGGCTGAAAAGTGTTGAAGGAAGTGAGAACGTCCGTGAACGTTGCATGGCGGAAGAGAAGCGCGGGTGTCTCATCAGGAATAAGCGAGGAAAAAGTGACAGGATAGGACAGACAGATTTTAGCGAATCGAGGATGGCCCTTAAGTTCTCCATAGGCCACTATTACGAGACCTATGTGAGTACGATCCGGAAAAAGTCGTTCCTTACGCCTTTCAATTTTCTTGTAAATTACAGTTCAGTACAGATTATACATCTGTCTTTAAAGTTTTTCATCATTATCAATTTTTAATGACATATTTTTTCCGGCAGGTTTAAGTCTTGTTTTACGAGAAATTCGATGAAATGTTTAATTAAAGCTATGTTTAATTGAGTAATACAATTATTTAATAATTTATTATATGTTTGATTAAATAATTTCGATGATAGCAATCGGAGAAATTCCGGTATTGAAAATAAAGTGGTCTTAACAAAAATTAAACTTTTCGAAGATATAAATAAATATTTAATTATCTATTATAAATCTTTTATTAATTTTAAATAATAAGGTACTTATTTGTTTTTTAATACTGAAAAAAATTAGCAATTAATAATATACTAGAACAACACAAGCTACGCGCGCGCTCTGCAGCCGCGAGCCGCTAGTGTGATTCGAGCTTTACGTGTGTGTCCTTTGTTTGGACTTTATTTTTGGATTTTTACTTCTTCTAAAGAGGATTTCATTTAATCTTTTTCGAGGAACTTACATATATCTTTACCAGTTAATGACCGTATACGTCGGTGCTAACCCTTTTACGAAGAAGAAGACTAATGCTAAATACCAAGTTCGCCAGTGTTATTAAGAGGATGCCGGACCGTCCTGTTTTACCGACCATAATAATTATATATTAAGATTGAAGATTGAAATTTGACCAATCAGGACAAAGAAATTTTAGTCCCTTTTGTTCTGATTAGTCAAATTCCAATCTTTAATCTTCAATCTTCAATTTTCAATGCGTAGTCTGATACGGGCTTAACAGAGCTCATTGCCGCCTGCGAACGGGAACGCACGTGTTAATTATATTCTTTCATGCATTTCCGAGTGGGAACCTATCTTATTTTGTACATACAAACTGCAAAACTTTTATATTAAGCAAATATGGTTACGACCTGACGCAAAAAGCCGGTAAAAAACTGTAATTTTTTAGATTTTCTTCGTTTTTAACGTAAAAGCGCAAGGTTCCCACTTTGTTGATGTATATACTTTAATCGTGGAAAAGGATTTCTTATTTCCATAAAAAAATTAACCAATAAAAAAATTTCGGTCTGCAAAGTAAATTATTATGGCCGGTAAAACAGGACGGTCCGGGATCCTCTTACGCCGAATTTTCGTACAGGCGTAATCTGATGCCAGAATACCCACGCTAGCAACATGCAACTGTAGTGGAGGGGATACGCACACGCTCTGCGCATTACATGTACACGGTTTTCGCTTATGTGTGTATCCCCTCCGTTACGGTTGCATGTTGCTAGCGTGAGTATCCTGGCATCGTAATGGCGTAAGATCAGCTGACTCTTAGTAGCGTGCACATGATTTACCGAGATATATAGTATCAGACTTATTAAGGGAAAAAAATAAAAACTGTTTCAGAAAATTAATAAATTCTATTATTGCATGTGTAATATTAATATACGTGCTTAATAGCTAGTCTATTTAGTATGAGAAAAAATTTATATAGACCTTAAGTGCCGGTCTACAATAGGTGATTTAAGCCCTAAGCTTTAAGAAATTGACCAATCACAATCAAGGAGGAAAATAATACTCGACTGTGATTAGTCAATTTCTTAAGACTTAGGACTTAAACCACCTATTGTAGATCGGCACTAAGAGTGCCGTACATCAAAAGCGTCTTTCATTTAAGCATGATTTTGTCAAAGCAGTCACGTGGTGCGCTTCGTATAGGTCCTATAGGTCAAGTCAGGTCGGAAAAATAACGTTTAAAAAGATCATATTTGATCATACACGCATTAACAACCATTAACGTTACTCTTACCTTCTCTACATTTTTTATTACATGAGGTAAAAAATATAATTAATATATTATTATGACGAAACAGATATAATCTCAAAGACCATTGCAATTCAACATTAATTTTGAATTCATAATCCGATAATTTATTTGTACAGCTTTTATGCAATTATATTTCAGATAAGGACGTCGATATTGCTTCTCCTCCGGCTATTGACAAATAAATAGAAGGTATTAATTTCAGCCAGGCGGCGATTTTTATGTATATAAAGATTCCATCAATGCTCGATCTCTATGAAAATTTCTAACGGTATTTATATTCGAGCGATATCGGAATGTTATTGCATAACTAGTTCATTTCAGTCTGATTATCATATTTTGTCGGTCTTATCATCATACAGCTTTAGTATAGAATTTTCATAACGTGTTCGCTGTAACTCATTTGATTTTTATTCATTTTATTGAAATTATTTCAACGCTGATAACGCTCGAATATTTGTCGTCTTTTGTCCAATTTCTACAAGCAGTGTAATATTTTCTAGCAAATAGATTACAACAATCGAGATATTTCCAATCGATTAACATATATATATACGTTGTGGAAAAGTAATTATTATCGATTTGAAACACTCCTAATCGATCAAAAAGAGATAAAATGATCTCGGCACGTGGTTTCGCCGTTTTGCGACATGCGGCGAACTTCGCGAATCACGTTAATAAAATCGTGAATGTGAATTATGCGTCAAGCTATTGCAAGATTGACGAGAGTATCTTCGGATTGAACAATGAACAGAGAGAGGTTAGCAAAAGAAATCTTCCATGCATTTTTCACATATATGCTGTGTCATTTCATCACGCAATGCGATCGTTCCAGACGAAAATTTGTATACTTTTGTATATTATAAAATATATGTGCATGCAAAAAAAGCAGTAAATATGTCATATGTCATTCTCTTTATAATTTATTGGTATTTGTTTATATCGCGATATTTTGATACTTATAAGATATTTAGATCACGTGTTAGATCTGTTCTTTATAGGTGAACTGACTGCACTAGAGTTTATCTTTTTCTCTCCTCATTGGAAGGAGAAAGATAAACTCTGAACTAATACAGCCGGTTCAGTTAGATCCGTTATTAACCGCAGGTTCTTCGTTTTGAAGTGCATTCCGTTTGACGCATTTTCGTTTCGAAGTGTTTTATGGACCAATTAAGGGTGCGTTCTGTTTGATACTATTTTTTCGCTTTAAAGATTGAAGTGTTTGATGGACCAATCAGAATAAAGAATGTTGTGTTTCGATGTGAAAATAGCGTCAAGCGGAGCACACCAGAAAACGTAGACTCTTGCGTTTCGAAGCGAAAATAGCCTCAAGCAGAACGCACTTACAATCTACGTCAGTACGTGTTCTCTCATCGGGAATACTTGTCGGCTTGTGTTTTTTTTTTTATTTTAAATTAAGGAAAATCGACGAAATTTGTTTTAATATTCTTGTATGTAAATTATATTTACACAGAACATAATATATAATATAATATAATAAAATAATCGTAATTCTTTTTCCAGCTTCGCTCACTCGTTTTCAATTTCGCGCAAAAGGAATTGGCGCCTAAAGCCGCCGAGATTGACAAAAAAAATAATTTCGATGAATTGAGGGTAAGAAAAAAAACTCTCTTGCATGAAAAATTAAGAAAATCTAAATAATAATTAATAAATCGCAAATTGCAACATGCGCAAATTAAATTTTATGTAAAATCGAAAATCTCTCTACTAATTTTATACTCTAATACTCTAATTATTTAAAAATGATACGAATGTAGGCATTCTGGAGAGAGTTGGGGAAATTGGGCTTCTTGGGCATCACGGTGAAACCGGAGTACGGCGGTACAGGCGGCACGTATCTCGATCACGTAATTATTTTGGAAGAATTGAGTAGAGTATCGGCTGCTATTGGACTCAGTTATGGTGCGCATTCGAATCTTTGCGTTAATCAAATTCACAGAAACGGCACGGAGGAACAGAAGCACAAATACTTGCCTAAGGTAAAACTCATTTCGATACAAAGCGTGTGTATATGCATGTGAATGTTGTATAATATTATAAAAAAATAATTTTTACGTAAAAGATATTTCGGTATATATATAAATATCCTGGTAATATAAATAAATTTTGCAAAAATATAATTATATAATTAACAGAAAAATTTTATAAAAATTATTACAAATGAAAGCTCTAACGCGAATCAAGAAGTGTGCCAATATCTTTATCTGTAGAATTAGACTCGCGTCGATTTAGCTCACGCACAATTATATGATCAATAATATAAATATATCATTGGTATATTCATATATTATTTGATATATTTATATATTATTAAATATTGCGTGAAATTTTTCAGCTATGCAGCGGTGAGCATATTGGCGCGTTGGCGATGTCGGAACCGGGGTCCGGATCCGATGTGATCTCTATGAAACTACGAGCTGAGAAGAAAAGCGATTATTATGTGCTGAACGGCAATAAATTTTGGATCACCAATGGCCCGGACGCGGACACCTTGATCGTCTACGCGAAAACCAACCCGAATGCGGACAAACCGCAACACGGTATCACCGCTTTCATTGTCGAAAGTGCTACAGAAGGATTTAGTACGGCGCAAAAGTTGGACAAGCTAGGAATGCGCGGTTCCAACACATGCGAATTGATTTTCGAGGATTGTAAAATTCCGGGTAAGTAGGAGTTCGAGCGAGAGATGCGAGATGTGGATATAGATATTTTAATGATACACAATATATCATTATATTATGTTATCGATTATCGTTGTGAAAATTACAGCCGCCAACGTTCTAGGAGAAGTTAATAAGGGCGTTTACGTGCTCCTCAGCGGATTGGATTTAGAACGATTAATATTGGCCGCTGGACCTGTAGGGTAAGTATTTAAAAAATGATGAAAGATATAATACAAAATTTGGCTTAAAAATCTACTTCTCGTTTTTTTCACGAGTACTTTGCATATTAAAGTATGTAGACTTTGAAATAGTTATTGGATGCATTTTTTATAATCGGTAAAATAAGAATTATATTTTTTAATATTTGATATGCGAATTGTGTATACTTATATAACGTATATACATATAGAATGTATGTATATTTCACAAAAAAGGGTATGGCAGATCTTGGGAATTTTATCATTAAAAACTTATTTTTACGTTTTGAGGCTATTAATAGATAAATGTTTACACTTTTATTTTGATCATAAACAAGTGTTTATCAGAAGATATGCAATAAGAATGCAACTTCTAGAATTCTACAAGCTTCTTGCGACATCGCTTTTGAATACGCTCATTCGAGAAAGCAATTCGATCAGTATCTCGCACAATTTCAATTGATACAGGTAAGATCACTCGCTCTATCTTTGTTAAGAAAATTATTACAATCCTAATTAATATTATTTGGCACCATAATCATGCTTCAGGCAAAGATTGCGGACATGTATATGACTTTAACCGCGAGCAGGACTTACTTGTACTCTGTCGCGAGATCTTGCGACGCTGGTCACACAAATCGTAAGGATTGCGCCGCAGTGTTGTTATTTTGTACCGAGAATGCTGTGAAAGCAACCATGAATGCCATGCAGATACTTGGTAAATCATTTAACAAATGCAAAAAAAAAACAGTAAAAGCTATGAAACTAGATTTTGTGCTAAAAATAAGTATAAAAAATAGAAATTTTTCAATGTTTAATAAAATTTAGTTAGGTCGATATATTTACTTATCTTCTTATTTTTTTTACTCGTTTGACAGGCGGTAATGGATACATCAATGATTATGTGACGGGGAGATTATTACGAGACGCAAAGCTTTACGATATCGGTGGGGGTACCAATGAAATACGACGATTGGTCATCAGCCGTGCGATCACTCAGGAATACTTGTGAAACAAAGAAATCTGCATTCCGATTTAGATTTTATAATTATTTATAGATATATATAGCAATGCCGAATTGTTCACGCAATATTCGCACTGTGACATTCATATTCACAGACAACTTGAGTTATTTACAATGATCACAACAATCCTTCTTAGGGAATTTCTTTAGAATAGACATGCTATTATTTTTGTACATTATTATTTTTTATCTACATAATATTTTATGTTTTAATGTTTTTTTCTATTTTATAATAAAAAAATATATATATATATATGCTGCATATGTCAATAATTGCCATAAATTCATAGAATACGAAATTATTTGAGAGAATAAGATCTCTTAGATCTTTTTTACATCCGCAGCATATAATTAGTCGGTGATTCATAATGAATTGTCGCTAATTCCCAATGTCGCGCATTTCGGCGATATGTCCTAATGATCGTATAAATTAAGATAAAGTGAGTCACTAGAACGAAGCGATTAACTAACCTTTCGCGCTATAGGTTGCTAATTTAAGTCGTATAACGCGTATACGCGCGTTCTCTTCTCTTTTCCTCTCTCATTCTTTCTTTCTTTCTTCCATCTCCGGATCTAGTCTTCGTTAATCACAGCCAAATTAATTACATCGGACCGATCCGCACAGGGGAGAAGTTCCTCGCCGTCCGTGAACGTTGCATGGCGGAAGAGAAGCGCGGGTGTCTCATCAGGAATAAGCAAGGAAAAAGTGACAGGATAGGACAGACAGATTTTAGCGAATCGAGGATGGCTCTTAAGTTCTCCATAGGCCACTATTACGAGACCTATGTGAGTACGATCCGGAAAAAGTCGTTCCTTACGCCTTTCAATTTTCTTGTAAATTACAGTTCAGTACAGATTATACATCTGTCTTTAAAGTTTTTCATCTTTATCAATTTTTAATGACATATTTTTTCCGGCAGGTTTAAGTCTTGTTTTACGAGAAATTCGATGAAATGTTTAATTAAAGCTATGTTTAATTGAGTAATACAATTATTTAATAATTTATTATATGTTTGATTAAATAATTTCGATGATAGCAATCGGAGAAATTCCGGTATTGAAAATAAAGTGGTCTTAACAAAAATTAAACTTTTCGAAGATATAAATAAATATTTAATTATCTATTATAAATCTTTTATTAATTTTAAATAATAAGGTACTTATTTGTTTTTTAATACTGAAAAAAATTAGCAATTAATAATATACTAGAACAACAC